TCCCCCACACCCCCTCCTTCCATTTTGAACTCTTTGAAACACTGGATGAGCCATTCAATATCACCCTTTTGGAAGAAAATTGATTTCCAAAAGCCCCTCCCGTTTTTCGTAAATCCTAACTCCACTACCTCTCCAACCACGTCAAAAGACTTTTGTTCAACCACTAAAAAACGCCCCAGGCCCACCACCATAGTAATCTAAAGCGACCACCGTCACCTAGCGACAGTCCACGAAGAAACAACCGCTACACTCTTTCTAGCCATCAAATAGAAAGTAATCAGACGGCCAATGCATTGATGAAAGGAGTCCTAGGCCAGAGAGAGAGAGAGAGTTTAAAGTTGTGTTTCTCTCTTTCCAAAAGGACCCAGCCACTATTGGTCAAAATATTGCCTGGACTGTTAAGAAAGATATGTACTAGATGGGAAAGTTAGCCAACGTGCTTTTGATGGGAGTAAGTTATCCCTCCCTCAAATAGTAGATTTTCTTCCAATCCCCCTAACCTCCTCTCACATCTTTGTAATTAGCACCCAAAGGCAACTCCAAATAATTGATCGGCAACTCCACCTTTTTGCATCCCAAGACATTTGCTAATCTGATAGCATCATCCTCATCACCTAATCTCACCAAATCTAACTTAGTCAGATTAATATTCAGTCTAGAGACCATTTGAAAGCACAACAAGCCATATCTAAGATTGAGAAGTGCCCCTTCATCCAGTTACTCCAATAGATGATAACTCATCCTATCCTACGAGTTACCCACTAAGAATCTATATTGAATGGATTCCAATCTCTTCGCCACGCTCATTGAGATTGTTAAGAAAGACATATAATAGATGGGAAAGTTAGCCAACGTACTTTTGATGAGAGTAAGCAGCCAAACTTTAGATAATAGATTTTTCTTTCAATCTGCTAACCTACTCTCAAATCTTTCTATGACCGGATCCCATGTTCCCACATCTTTGTAATTAGCATCTAAAGACAACCCCAAATACTTGATGGGCAACTCCACCTTTTTACATCCTAAGACAATTGCTAATCTAGTAGCATCATTCCCATCACCCAATCTCACTAATTGTAACTTAAATTAATATTCGGTCCAGAGACCGCTTGAAAGCACAATAAGACATATCTAAGATTGAGAAGCGCCCTTTTATTCGGTTCACAGAACATTAGGATATTGTCTGCAAAAAAATAAGTGAGTAATTTCCTCACCTGTTCACCTACTCCCACTTTCAGTCCTCTGAATAATTCCAACTCCCTAGCCCATTCAACAACTTGTTTAACCCTTCCATAGCTTTGATAAACGCAAATCTCCTAACTTAAGGCATGTAACGTAATAAAATAACAGCAAGAAGTAAATAACATCTTTTACTGCAAATATAAATGGTAACTTATAGCCTGACCAAAAAGTAAACTGACATACAATTTCAAATTATTTAGAAAATCAAATACTTTGTTACCACCCCAAGCATATCAATTTTAAAGAAAAAGGAAATCTTACAGGCTCGGAGAACATCAACTGCAATGCAGTTTCAAAATCCTTATTTTCTTCTGATGATTCTTCAGACTGGTCCCCAGGTAATGGAGATAAACACTCCTCAACAGTTTTACTCCCTTCTCCATTCTCTGCACATCCCTCCTCTACATCACTGATATTGTCCCCATCAGAGTCCTGTTTCACATCATCAAAATATCGCTTCTGACTTGAAGACAACTTGTTAGGAAGGCCATCCACATTTAGAGAATTCAACTTTGTGAATACAGAGTTTGTGGCCATCAAAATGTACAGAACGAAAATTAACTGCAAGATACATGTTGTAGACGTTAATTCGCTGGTTAACAAATGCAAGATAACAAAAGTTCCCCCCATTCTCATAAAAACAACACTAAGGATTGCATATTGGTTTTCTACAAACATGGGCAGAAACTTAAGAAATTATCATCTAATTAAGATATTTATGCCACATAAAGACCAAAGTTTGTAATACAACTATAAATAAGTGAATTAAACCTTACAAGAAGGAAGGAGCATTTTTCCTTTCTAACAGCAAGCAAACTTAAAGGTGACAAATTTTTATTTAAGAAAAATGGTACAATATTTTAACAAGGGTTTATCCTTTTGGCTAGTAGTAAAAAAAAATCAAAATTGATAATAACTATAAAGATTTTTTTTTATAAGTTGAGAGCAGCTCAAGATATGGGGCAAAATTTATACCACAATCCTCAACTGCACGAATACAGAAGACTGTTAATGTTAAATTTAGAATTAGAGTAATGACAAGATAAAGAAAAAAAAAAGGTTGTATTATGCTATCAAGATGGTTTAACAACTGTTACCATGATAAAAATGAAAAATATAATACGTAAGAACAAACACCAGAGTCATCTAGATAGGCTGCAATTACGGTTTGAATTATTCTCACTATCATATTAACTACATCAATTTTCACAGGAAATACCTATAATACGAATATCATAATCGACCATAGATACATCAAATTAACGAGTTAAAGAACTCAACATAAATAGAAATGAACAAAAGTTTACCCACCTAAATCACCAAAACACCCCAAAGAACAATCAATTGGTCACCGATAACTCAACAGATATTCCTTTAATCTCGTGGAACTCAGGGATGACAAGGAGCAAGAAACCCTAATAGTACGAGGGACAAATAGATGGTAGAAGAAAGTAGGAGACAGCTAAAATGGAATACTAGGAAAACCTAATGTTAACTAAGATTACCACGCCGATCACCCTTCTCAAGCGGTTTCAGACGATGCGAGCACAAACCACAATGATAAAGCGTCAATGAAGGAATCAAAGGAAGCAAGAGTAACTGAACGGGAACCGAAGGCATTATCCCTATGCTCTTCGAAACCCTAATCCCTTCAAACCAACCTATAAAACCCTATCTCTTAGCTGATCGAGAAAAGTATCACCGGAATTGTTCAAAAATAACAACTAAAAGAAATGAAGGGGGATGAGAAATTTAAGTTTAGCCTTTGGAAAACTAAAAACCTTAAAACCTAAACATATGCGAATCGGGAAGGATGAGAAAATCCATTAACACGAAGACTGAATTTAAAGGGGAGCTGGGAAAGAAATTTTGGGCGAGGAGAAGATAAAAAGCAAAGCGGATCAGGGATGAAAAAAGTACAGCGGCGAATTTGAAGTCAAGTCAACAGAATCAAGGGGAAGAGAGACGGTGACTTCCAGGATCGAATCAGGAACGTACACGTGTTCAATATGATGTGTACTTGACAACTCTGACTCAGATATTTCTTGGGCCGTTCATGGTTATTGGGCCTTCCCGAACCGACAACTACGTTCTTTTCTTTTTGTTTTCTTTTAACTAATTCGTTTATTTTTAGAAAACTATATAAAAAAAACCATTTAATTTAAATTGACAGCTAATAACGCCTTGCACTTTCAATTTTAGTAACAGAATATTAAATACTACATGTTTTTTAAATTTAAAAATTTAACTTAATGGATTAATTATTCATTGATTGGATGATGATTATTTTCACATATTTGAGAATGTAAGTTC